GAAAAATGGGGATAAAATGGGAAAGAAATGGGATAAAAGGGGGGAAATCAGGGGAAAATGGGAAATAAAGCGATAAAACAGGGAAAACAGGGGGAAATTGGAGGAAATTGCATGAAACTGAGATAAAATGGGGGGGAAATGGGGAAAACCCAATAGATCCAGGGGTAATCCAACAAATTTGGGGGAAAATGGAGGGGAAATGAAAAGAAATCCAGGGAAACTTTGGGAAAATCCAGGAAAATGGAGGGAAAATGCAGGGAAAAATCCTGGGAAAAATTAAAGGAAAATGAAGGGAAAATTCAGGGGAAATGCAAGGAAAATCCCTCCCTCCTCTTCCCAGCATTTCCCCCCAGCTTTTCCCACTCTGTTTGTCCAGGGGTTAATCAATAACTGGGAATGCTCCGAGTTTGCCTCCAGGAAGGGAAAATTTGGGAATAATTCCCAGGGTTTGGGCTTCTTTCATTTGGATTCTTTTGGGAATTATTCAGGGATTCGTTCCTGATTAATTTCAGAATTATTTTATTTGGAATCATTTCTTCCAATGATTACTTCAGGAATTATTTAAGGAATTTTTTTGGGAATTATTGGGGAATTATCCAGGGAATTATTTTTTAATAATTTCCCAATTATTTCTGGGATTCTTTTGGGATTCCCAGGAATTTGAAGCTCCCAGGAGCAGAATTTTTGGGATTATCCAAATTCCCTGATCAGGGGAGGAAGAGGGAAGGAAAAGCCCTTGGAAAAACCCTTGGAAAAGCAAGAAAAATCCAGGAATTCCACCTGGGAAGAGGCGCAGGTCATCCTGGAGCTCCTCCTCGTCCATCCTGGGATTGTTGGGGGGATTTTTTTGATTTTCTGGATCAGAGGCCACAGGGGCACGCCGGGGATGATCCTGTGATTGTTTCAGTTCCTCCTTCCTCTCCAGAGGGTTAAAATTTAATCCAAGAATTTTTTGGGGCTGGATTTTTGGGCTTGGAGCCAATTCCAGAGAGTTGCAGGGTTTTTTTTCCCCTTCATCCAAGGATTTTTTGGGGTTTCTAGCAGGTTTTTAATTTTTAAGTGGATTTTTTAGGGTTTTATGGGGGGGATTTCCGTGGACGTTTGTGGAATTTTAATGGATTTTTGTGAGGCTTTCATTGATTTTTATGGATTGTTCTGATTCTTTTTTTAGTATTAGGGCAATTTAAAAAAAATTAATGGATTCATTGGATCTCGATGGGTTAGTTTTTGGGTTGCAGGGCATTTTAAAATTTTTTGGATTTAAAAAAAGATAAATTTTTGTACATTTGTGGGGATTTTTAAATTTATTTTGAGGATTTTGAGCAATGTTTCTTTGAATTTCAGAGATTTTGGCAAATTTTTATTTGAATTTTGGTGGCTGCTGGGGGCATTTTTTTGGAATTTTCAAGGATTTTCCTCCTCCCTTTGAATCAAAACCACAAATACGGAAAGAAAGCGAGCCTGGGAAATCTGAACAATCCCAAAAAAACTTAGATTTGGAACCAATCCCGCAATTCCGAGGTCACAGAGACCTGGATTTCATCACCAGGGCCAAATTCCGGCCGAATTTTTGCCAAAATTCCCGAGGATTTGGGGTCAAAACGGGCCAAAATGGCAGCAGGGCCCTGAGGAGCGGCGGAAAGGGCGGGAAAAAAGGGCGGGAAGAAGGTGGGGAAAGGGCAGGAAAAAGACGACGCCGGGGTGGTGCTGGGCGCCGTTCCTCCCCTGCCAGTCCCCGTTGTCCCCAGTGGCTCCTCGGAGCCCCCCAGGGAACCCAAAGACCCCCCCAGTAACTCTCAGTAGCTCCCAGTAACCCCCAGTACCCACCCGTTGGGGGACCCAGGCCACTCCTGCCGCCATCTTGGCTGTTGCTAACAACAAACGCCGTTGCCAGGCAACGCTTCAGTTAACTGGCGTCGGCGTGACGTCACGTCCCATACACAACGATGTCAGTTCCGGGCCCAGCACCATGGCGGCCTGGAGGTACCTGGTGGGTTCTGCAGGCACCGGGAGCGCTCAGAAAATACCGGGACGCCCCTCAGGGGTCCAGGGGAGCCTCCAGAGGTCCCGGGGGAGGCTCCGCAACCCCTTCCCCCTCCCCCCTCAAATCCACCAACCCACCCCCCGTTGACCTTAATTCCTTCTGCCGATGAGATCCAGGACGGTGATGAACGACCAGGAGCAGCTGACGCGTCCGCTCGGTGTCCCCCGGTTCTCCCAGTGTTCCCCGTTTTCCTCCCCAACCCCGGTTCTCCTCCTCCCATCCCCTCTGTGACCAAACCGGCGCCACGCTGAGGATTTGAACCGGCCGCTCGCGTTCTGGAGCGTTGAATTTATTGTTAATAAATTGCTAATTAATAAATTAATAATTGCTGCTTTCGAAGTCCCGGTTATTTCATGTCATTCCCGGTAGGACCGAGACGACCCAACCAGAAACAGTGGGTGCGCCAGTGTGTCTTTGCGTTCCGGTCCAGTTTGTCCACCCACGGCCACTGTACCTCCTTTCCCGCTCGCTTCTCGACTTCACCGGTTGCATGATTGACGTATGGCCTACCTAATAGAATTGCGCGGCGAAGGCGCCGCGTCTCTGTCGACCAAT